CCTGTCAGCAGGTAAACCACCAAAGAAGAAAAAGAACAAAAGAAAAGTAAGTCGAAACATAACCAGAGACACGTTTTAAGTTTCGTCCTCTCGTCTTTCTGTTCTGCTCTTCACGCTCTGCTTCAGGTTCCACCTGTTCTCAATTTCACCTTTGAGTTTCATTCCGGCCTGCTGCGATTAAAACACACACTCACCAGTAAGATTAAAGGGTCAGTTCAGCGTTTTCAATGTTTCTTGTTTGTTAATTTAATTAACTGGTGTCCGAATGGTGGTTCGGGTCCCTTCAGAGGATCATAAGTTTAAATCACAGAATCAGAAAAACAACAAACATGGAAGAGTTTTAAGTTTTATACAAGGAAGTAAAGTGGTGTGTTTATGAAGAAGTGACTCACACGTGTAAAAATATAAATGTGAAATGTTTTACTTTTCTGATAATGGATACTTTACTAATAACTTTATTTAAATAATAAAAGTTGAATACTTCTTAAATATGTCAGTAATATTTGGGTTTACATTTTGAAAATATATATTTTGTAACGATGAATGAATTAAAATGTTGCCCTGCTGGCTCCTGTTGATTCTGGCAGCTAGTTAGTGTTAATGAGCTCTGATTAGCTGCAGTGTGGCCATGTTTGGGCTGTGATTGGTTAATTAGGTTTTGGAAATAACTTGCTTGATAAACGTTTGAGAAATAATATAACAAATGGTGTGAGAGTTTTTTTATGTTGTCATTTAAACATTTGGTTTGTGATTTAGACCTTTTTGGTTCTCAAGTTCAGTAGAATCACCTCTCATCCAAACTTTAAACATTTCTGTAAACTAAGAATCATATACTATTAAAAGGGTATTTTATTTTTGTGGGTTACTACATGGAGAACAAAACCTCCTCATAACTGAACCCATATTTTGAAAATGTTTGTATTGTGGGCAAACTATAGTAACTTCTAGACCCGAAGAGGGGGAAAAAAGCTTTTCACAAATGGAACAAAATATGGTGCAAATGTCTTAAGAGCCTTGAAATAGGTGAAACTTTAATGTTAGTTCAGTGTGTTTTGCTGGATTTGACAGTATTGTTCAGACTGATCTTATTTAGGGCTGCAGTTAATGATTACTTTTGTAATCAATTATTCTTTCAATTAATCGAGTTATCTGATTAAAAAAATACCAGGTTCTGCAGTAACTAATAAATATGACAATTATTTAAAATTATGATGAGGTAATCTTGCTAATGACCCTGCTGCAATCAAAATAAAATACTATACCAGCTGTATTTTATTCATGCAGTTTAAGCTCCAGTTGCTTGTATATGTGTGAGAGGTGTGAGGGTGCATTAATTAAAAACAAAATTAAAAAATTCAGTCAGTGAATAATTTTTACCCATCAAAGAAAAATCTAAATTTTATAAATCAATTGTTTATAGATAGGAAAACTGAATGTGGTCTTTTTATGTTAGAAATTAAGTAAAAATATGTAATGTTCAAGATTTGCACACTGAGTACTGTATAGTTCACTTGTTGTTAGTAAAAGGTAAATTCATATACATATTAGGGCAATTGTTATGCTGGCACAGCATTCATTTAGGCAATAAAATATTTAGTCTTGACTGCTTAATATGACAAAGTAAATGAAGGCTGATGGCAGGTCGCAAAGTCTTAAAGTGCAACAGCAAAATTAATAAATGAATAAATAAAAATTCTACTATCTACTATAAATACTTTTAAATTTGAAATATTCACTCCCAAGTATCTCATTAAAGTCAAGATAGAAGAAAGAAATGTGTTTCAGCTCATGCTCTCAATCTGTTGCTGTGCTTTTCTTTTTGTTTGACACACTTACAGCATCACACAACTTACACACTCTTAAATCATACCCTGTTAGGTAGCTTTAAGTCAGAACATGTAACGTTAGCCAAAATACCTGTTTGTGCATCTGTAACATGATTATCACAGATTTAGATTAACGTATTTTGCAAAGGGAACGTAAATGATATCTGTTGTTAACGTCAGACGAGTTCGGTGCATGTAGCAGCTGTTTTCTGTTCTGATGCAGAAACATTTAGAACATGCAGCCCGTGCACTGCACTGGGTTATCTTTTCTGTTTAGTTTAAAATGATCCCACACTTTCAACAATTTCTGTCTACCTGTTCTTCCATAGTTAAACATAGCACTTAGCATACATGCGTTGTAGTTAGCGGAAGTGCAACACATCATTCTGGCTGGAAAAAAGTGCCTTGAATAGTTTATCAGCATCTGTTTTTTAATGAAGCTAGGCAGATAATTTGCCTCAAGAATTTTTAGGAATCAAATTACTTAAATTATTTGAGGAATCACCTAATCTTATTGATCAACCACAAAGATGGGCTGGGATTTTTGGTGTAATTAATTGTTTTATGTCGTACCTTTCAAACAAAGAGCCCTATTGTGACTAAACTGTGCTTACTCTGACCTGTGGGGTTCTTCAGGGATGTGTCCTTGGTTCTGTTCTTGTTGTATGTGACCCATCATATCGAAATGAGGATTAAGTCAAATTTGGTCAAAATGACCTAATTACATTTTCAGATTTTTGGCTTTAAAAGCTACATTTTGATACCTGGATCATTCTGTTATCATAATTAAATCCATATATATKACTTAATTTGTCTTGTTGGTTACAATAAAGCATAAATATTTGGTCTGAATCCTAATTTTATGTCCTTTTAATGAGGAATTTTTGATGTCCTTTTAAAGAGGAAACCTCAAATTATATTTGAATATTGAGATTTCCCAGCTAAAAGTAAACAAAACTTTGCTAACTCACAGGGAAAATCTTAATAATTTAAGGCGTTTTTCCTCAAAATCAGTTTTTTTGTTGCTACTGCTCAAAAAAGTGCTTCAAAATTTTGTTTTATGATTATATTTCAGGTAGTTCATTCAAATGATACATTGATACTTTTGTTCATTTTATTTTGACAAAATGCAGTTTTTGTTAACATTTTAGTCAAAACACTATATTTGCCTATTTCTCCTTATACCACTTTTGGACTTAATCCTCGTTTTGATGTGATGGGTCACATATTCTCCCTTTTGGCCAGTTGATACAAAGATTTAGCTGTGTTTTTATCACTTCTATGTGGATGAAATTAAAAATTGTGTCTTATGACAGTACAGTATTTACAGTTCTTCACAACTGTGTAGCTGAAATTAAAAACTGATGAAATTTTCTTAAACTAAATTAGATTCAAACTGAAGAGGTAAAGATTTTCAGCAACTCAAGTTCTTGAAAAGTCTCTTAGTTCTGATGCTGTTCACTATAACAGCATCCACCAAAAGCTTCATTGTTATTTTTGACAACTCAAATTTGAGAAATTTGCTCAGCATCTGTGGTTCAGTTCAGTTACTTTCATTTGACAAATGACACTGAAATATGCCCTCCATTAAAATTAGAAAACGTAATTCATGCTTTTGTGTCATCACATGTAGACTACTGCAGCCCCCTCTATTTCTGTTCAAATGAAGACCCTGTTGTTGTCTACACTTAGTCCAAAACTCAGCTGAGGACTTTTCACCAATACCTTGTTTATCATATGTTAATTTCTCTAAACTGAGTTTCTGTAAAATTCAGGAATCATTTTTAAAGTCCTCCTTCTGCTCTACAAACTTTAAACACTGAATTTTATCTGTTCCAGACCCCTGAGTTCATCAAGGCCGCCTAGTTGTTCCAAGAGTGGACTCGGCATTCTTCCGAGTCCCCTCTTGAAGCCAAAGTGTGTTAAGTCATGATGAAAGACCTGCTGTTAAACAAAATGCAATTGTTTTAAGTCAAATATTTTTATTGCTTTTATGTTATTGCATTTTTGGTTTTCTCATTTTCTGATTTCCATTGTATTATTATCAGAAATGTGTCACTTTGTAACTCGCCCGTCCATTTTCTTCCGCTTATCCGGGGTCGGGTCGCGGGGGCAGCAGCCTAAGCAGAGAGACCCAGACTTCCCTCTCCAGCCACTTGGGCCAGCCCCTCGAGGGGAATCCCAAGGCATTCCCAGGCCAGCCGAGAGACATAGTCCCTCCAGCGTGTCCTGGGTCTTCTTCTGGGCCTCCTCCCAGTGGGACGTGCCTGGAACACTTCACCAGGGAGGCGTACAGGAGGCATCCTAACCAGATAAACCACCTCAACTGGCTCCTCTTGACGTGGAGGAGCAGCAGCTCTATTCTGAGTCCTTCCTGGATGACTGAGCTTCTCACCCTATCTCTAAGGGAGAGCCCAGACACCCTGCAGAGGAAACTAATTTTGGCCGCTTGTGTCAATGATCTTGTTCTTTCGGTCACTACCCAAAGCTCGTGACCATAGATGAGGGTAGGAACGTAGACCGACCTCTCCACCACGATAAGGTGGCAGCCCAGGGAGTCACTTTGTAACTTTGGTTTTAAAAAGTGCTACACAGATAAAGATTTATTTAGAACTCCATCAGAATTGCTTAAAAAATAACAAACCACATATTGTTCTTGCGTTGGCATTTATCTATTTTGATTTTTGGTTAAAAAACTATTATTGTTTTTTAACAAGCTGTCTTGTCAGGAATGTGCTGCTGAAGCAGGAGGCTTGTTGGAATCTTGACACATTTGTTCCTGCAGTCAGACGGCATGTTGGCATTCCTGATGACATCATTCTGTGTAAAGTAACTTAATAAATACATTTGAATTGGCACAGGTCAAGTAATTTCAGCTGCAAGGAAAATGAAATTACTTAATGAAGAATAAGTTTAAAGAACATCCTCAAACAGTTATTCTGTTTTTATAGTAACGCTATAAATCATCAGAATAAACAAGCTCCTATTGAGTTTTCTTTTCTGTTGCCACAAATGGAGACAAAATACAATCATTAAAACAAGGAGTTTTACTGATGCTCACTGTGCCTCTTTCTTTGACCAACAGAAGGATCTTTCAACACAACTTTTTATTTTTTCTAAGTGCTGGAAATGTTGATTTTCACAGTGAGTAACCCCCTCCCATCCAACCTGAAGTCTGAGGCCAAAAAGGCTGCAAAGATCCTGAGGGACTTCACCGAAATCACTCACAGGAATGGACCTGACAAACTCATTCCTCGTAAGAATCACACAGGAAGCTGAACTCTGACCTTTTATAAATGGTTGTTTGGTCTCAAATGTGTGTTTTATAAATGGTTGTTTGGTCTCAAATGTGTTTTTATGTGTGTTGTAGCTCATATCATAGCAAGGGCCGAGGGTTTGGCCATTATATCCGTCATCAGGGCTGGCTTCGTGGTGACAGCCAGAGGAGGCAGTGGCATCGTCATCGCCAGACTCCATGACAGACGTAAGAATTTGTTTGGATGTATAATACAGTTTTCTCTATGGGTTGCTTAAGGTGCAGTTCAGAGGTTATAGGTGGGGCCTTCTTAGATATAGTTTTGGTCTTTCACTCCTTTTTATAATTGTCATGTTGTGGTGTGGGAGCCAAATTCCAACAAGTTTTTTAAAGTTGGGAGCTTCCCATGGGAATAAACTGGAGTAAATTAGGAATTTCAATAATTGAAAGCTGGCACTGAACAAGAATTTGAAATATAGTTTGAGAAAATATTTTTATCTTGACTAAAGCTACCAGATTTAAATTCTGAAACGTGCAGAAAGAGTTACCACGCCATAAAACAGTAAACTTTAACCTGGAGATGCAGGGAAATTTTTTTGTTTGTTTGATTTGTGAAATGCATTTCACTAACTTTCCATTTTCTCATGTGAATACAATGGGTATAAAAACTCAGTGATCATTTTGTTTAGATTTGTGTTTATGAATAAAAAAACTACAAAAAACTACAATAAAGAGAACTTAATAATAATAGTAGTAGTAGTAATATAATAGAGAAATGTGAAATAAATTGTTTTATAAAAGTTGACAATGTCATAAGCAAATTAGGTAATTTAATTTAGATTAGATAGAACTTTGATCCCTTGGGAGGGGTCCAGCAGCATCAGTACAGTAGAGATTTCTCCTTGTATATGGTTCCTCTTGGGTCGATTCTCAGAAAACGGTGTCGCTTTTCATTGTTATGCTGATGACATGTCCCTTTGAAGAAAAGTGATGCTTGTTCTCTTAAAACCTTGCTGTTAAAGCTTGGTTGGCCCTGAACCTTTTGCTTTTTAATGAGAAGAAAACAGAGGTGATCGTGTTTTCCCCTAGCAGCTCCCGTGTGTCCCCCCTGTTGATTTGGGTCCCCTGGCAGCCTATGCAGTCTCCTGTCACTAACTTGGGTTTTAAGATGGACAGTAATTTTAAGATTGACAGCCAAGTTAGTGATGTAGTGAAGTCAAGCTTTTTTCCACCTCAGCTTGCAAAGGTGAAGCTTTTTCTTTCACACCAGCACTTTGAAACAGTAATCCATGCCTTCATCACCTCTCGGCTGGATTACTGTAATGCATTTTATGCTGGAGTTAGCCAGTCCTCTGTTGCACGGCTCCAGTTGGTTCAGAATGCTGCTAATCGTTTGCCAACTAGAACATGTAAAAGGGAGCATATCACACCCATTCTGGCTTCCCTCCACTGGCTGCCTGTGCATTTTAGAGTTCGTTTTAAGGTTCTTTTATTTGTTTTTAAATCTTTACATGGCCTTGCCCCATCTTACCTCTCCGAGCTTCTCCACCCCTGTGCCCTTGCACGGTACCTCCGGTCAGCCGATCAGTTGCTCCTTAAATTACCCAGGACAAAGCGAACCCTCAGAGGGGATGGAGCATTTTCAGTTGCTACTCCGAAGCTCTGGAATGAGCTACCTCTACACATCAGGCAGGCCTCCTCATTGCCTGTTTTTAAAACTAATCTTAAAACTTATTTTTATTCACTGACTTTTAACACAATTTGAGATCTTGGTCTTTTTTTAGCTGGTTTTTGTTTGTTTTTAGTGTTTGAGTGTTTTTATTGTTTTTGTTTTATTGTTTTCGGCCCCTCATGTACAGCACTTTGTATCAGCTGTCCCTGTTTTAAAGCGCTTTATAAATAAAGTTGATTTGATTTGATTCAAGGTAAGGGAAATAATATAAGAGTCAAAGGGATATATTGCACATGATACATCAGTATAATAACAAGTGAAAGTAAAAAAGAAAAAAAGAAAAAGGTCAAAAAGAGAAGTCAAAGGAGGGAGAAAAAGGAGGTGGGTATTACACACATTATACACTTGTTATTGTGCTGTAGACTAGGTGCACCCTTCCTCACCCCCCAGAGAGGAGCTGTACAGTCTTATCGCTTGAGGGACAAAAGAGTTCCTTAGTCTGTTGGTTCTGCATTTTGGAAGAACCAGCCGTTCACTGAACTGGGTCCTCTGGTCGCTGATAACAGTGTGCAGAGGGTGCTTACCATTGTCCATAATTTCCAGTATTCTCATTAGAGACCTCTTCTCAGCTACTGTCACCATAGACACCAGCTTCATGTCAACA